TAAAAATACATATTGACCAAATGCAAGTAAGCGTACCGTCCACCCACAACGTCTTCGCAAAATCAAGTCGAAACCATTATTCATTGTTATCTACTTGTATATTATACACAATCATCTCAATTTCTCTTGCCCCCTCCACTCACTTATGTTCCATCAAAAAAAACACCCCTCTGCCTGTCGCTGTCACTTTCCTATAATATATCCAAGCCAAGAGGCGTAGAAGGACTGGCTGTCGATTTATCTCAGCTCAACTAATGCTCGTTGTCTGATATATTATATTGGTATACGAGCCTCGACGACTACGGCTACGACCCTAAGCCCATAGGTACCTATCTATCGATCGGATTACCTTAATAACTATACCCTACGACGTAGAGCTTACGTCATCAGGCTACTTTACTCGTGCTGTGCATTATTATATGCTATAGATTTTGGCCACATCGCAGCAGGTTTTAGTTTATTAAATTCATCATAAAGTCTCAATTTGTTTTATATATTTTTTTCAATCCTCCTATACAATAACAAATATGTGTTACTAACATAACATAGTTTTTGTAGTATTAATGTTACCGTGTAAAAGTAAATATATTTATTAGTCTTTAACTCTGCCTTCGTTGATTATCATCTGTTCGAAAAATAGTTAAAAATCTATGAAATATTCTGGAGTTGAAACTATCTATAAATTTCAATGGCAATCATGCATAATACCATGTGTATTTACATTTAAAATCGTATTAAATTTCCAGTATATTATATAACATGAGTAGTAAGATAAAAAAAAATGTGTATACTACTTGCACCCATCATCGTTGTTTATGCATATCAAATATTCAGCTTTTATGTATATTTCATGTTAACATATAATATTATAACCTACACCAACGAACCTGTCATGAACTCATCGTCCTAACAATAATTTCGTATTGTATTCCATTTTAGATAGTATTTGTATGAAAATCGATACGGCACTCAGTCTTAATGTATTCAATATTTACTAGAACTCCATAGGGGCATAGGTTTAATACCTTCAGCATCTCTTCTGAATGTAAAATAAATATAATCATATCACGTCTTATCAAACACGATAAACCCGATTTTCTTCTATAATGAACAATACATGCTCAGACCACAATAAAACACACACACACACACACACACTCAAGAATGTTTTTCAGTGAGTTTTTTTTCTTATAAATTTCCATATGTAATTTCTCATGAGGATTATGATGTGCTTATGTATTCACCAATTCACCATTGAAAACATACTGTTGGTATTTATACGTTTCAACCTTTGAACGAGGACTTGCCGCTATAGTTGTTAACGCAGCTACCTACCGGTAGTACGAGTAGCATAACTAAAAATATACCAATATAAAAATAATTATGTAAAGTGGGTGCACATGGGGGAAGAGAATTGACAAATGTTATTAAAAAGACATGACGCGTGGTATGAACGGGCATAGACCAATTGCGCGAAAAAATGAATTTTTTTTTTTTAGGATCAATGTACCAATTGCGTTCCATATATATTTTACGGTTAGTATACCAATTGCACTATTCAAATTTGCCTACCTTCAGATATGAAAATATTGTTAATAAAATTGATTTATTATTGTAAAAAATTTGACTGTGAATTATAAGTTAACTGGTATAACTTTAAAGTTGAATTTATTTATTTATATTATTATATTATGTATTAATAGTAGCAAAAAAAATCAATTAGTGTATTATTTATTTTTATTTTATTTATAACTATAACTTTAATTTGAATAATTAACGATCAAATAGTAAATTGTTAAATGTGAAGAAAAAAAAATTATTCATTTATTTATATTATATTAAATATTTATAGACGAACAAAAATTGTTTAGTGTATTTATTTACTATATAATTATTATATTATATAATAATAATTATAACTAATAAGTTTTCCTTCGGTATTGTAAAATGTTTTGAGCGCAATTGGTCAATCGACCCTAAAATTTTTAGAACACAATTGGTATGTGAAAAGTTTATTTTATGTTTAATTAGTAAACTTCCGTATGAACCTAACACCTTACCTATTCTACCAAACTCATACCAGTTGAACTCTTCTTGAATGAAAAACATTTGGTTGTAAATGAAAACTATGGATAAAAACCTTAAATCTACCTTTCCATCTCTTTGGTAAATCACTTTTTCACATATGGTATGCTCAAAACAATTCGAAGCGAAACAATAATTATTATTTATCTTCTAGCGACTTAATTTTCAGATAAATATAATCGGACAGTTTTTCAGATCAAGAATTATATGTACAGTATATAATAATACTGTGATGAAAATAATAATGAAAAAAATTAATGAAAAGGTAGTGAGAACATATCAAAGAAAATGAGGAATAAATAGAGGGAGAGGGAAAGAAAAAGAGAACGAGAGAGGGAAAGAGAGATTTAAAGAGAGTTAAAAGAAGAGATAAAGGTATACAAAACGAGGGAGACAGGTTGATAGTACAGTGATGATAGTGATGCAAGGCGAGAAGAAGAGGAAGGAAAGCCTATGTACGAGTTATGAAGTCTTCTAATATCATACGGGTATTAGTTCGACGACGGGCAAATCCGATTTAATTGCGTATAGAATCAGTGTGTATATATGTGTATGAACGTACCATATGCCTGCGTGTCTCAAATAATTTCGTAAACATCTACTGACCCGGAAAAACAATAACGGAAACGATTTTGGCAGCAAGAAAATATAGTTCGGGAAAAGAATTGTTTTCTCTTTCTATGTATTTTCTGTTAAAGTTTATATCAGAATTACTCATTTTATGTGGTTATTATTATTTATATACACAACAAAGTTAGTTTATTGCATTTTCCCGCATTGCATTTAAAACAATTCCGAATCCCGGATTGAAAGAAATATGATATTCTTTAAAGGGATTCGACCACGTTGAACGGCTTTTTCCTTCCGCGTACCATATCATCCGATGTCATCTCGGTGATAAATCCAAATGTAAAACTGACCGAACATCAGTTTATTATGTTGCTCTGTAACTCTGTAACTCCGTCGCATCGTCAGCTGAATAATGTTATATTAGTTTTATCATTATGCGAATTGAAGCGTTATGCGATAATAACTTAACCGGCATTTCTAAATGCTATGCCACAGGTTAGGTTAGGATTAATACAATAGTATAATACGAGTACCAAAAGATGTCGAAAACTTTTTGGTATAAAACTAATCTTTATTTAGTATAACAAAAACTGAAAATAGCTTAATATTATAACAGGTTATAAAATGGTGCATTTCATCGGACATCAAAAAGATTATTAAGTGACTATTTTATGATAATATTAAATTACATAATTAATATAGTTAAAAAAAGTATATATAATTTCGTGGTTTAAGATTATTGATATAAAATACCTACCTTGGTAAAAAAATAATATAATTTATTCCTTTCGATTGCATTTACTATAGAATTATATTCTAACTTGTATACATAATATATAAATATCACTTACTCACTTACAACGATAAAACGTATTAACTTGATATTTGACATAGTCGATCTATTAATATTTTTAATGTGAAATTAAAAGGAATTCTTTAAAAATCGCATTCTCAATGGTCGAAACCGTTTTTTGCTAATTAAATATTCTCGTCGTACCCGTTTTCACTCTTTCGTTATTTAGAAAATATTTTCTTTTCCTTAGTATATTGATTTTAATAATTGCCGATTAAAGTAATGCGAATCAATGTTATATAAATAAAATAAAAAAAAGGATATACATCACTATAGAATATATTATGATTTTGTATATATAAATGTACATTTTTACATCGAAATAGTAATTATTCTAATCTAAAATTGTAAAATATCCCTTGAGGAGGCCGATTGATTCAGATATCATAATTTATTTTGAACAAATATCGGTATGAGCCGATAGTTAAGTTGCGTTTAGTTATAAAATCATCTTGGTTAAAAATAAACATAATACGTATCTATATAAATGTAAATACTTGCCGAACATGTTGTATGCGATTTTCTGTTATTGCTCACTTTAGGTGGTTAAAATGTGCATACGTTTCTGCGTGAACACTATTTACTCGAGTAATCGTAAGAAATCCGCTCAATCTCAAAGGTAAAACGAATTCGCCAATATTCCCTGTGGAATTTGAACTATGTAAATTATGTAAATGTGCATGAATGTGCACGCACACTTCTTTTGGCGTGCAATGCGGACCACACATCTTGCTTTTGAAAAAAATTTAAATTATATTCGATATAACCCTATGTTTTCACAATTATTTTTCTGGTAATTTAAAAACGATCTTGTTACAATTTCTCATTTTTGATTTCACTCCTCGTGCTGCATTCGCAAATTATTAATAATCATCCTCGAAACGCGATACGCTTGTTACGAATTGTACTCTAATCGCGGTATTACATTATACCGTATGTACACCGGTGCTGATTGTTTTTTTACGATCAACATGATCAAAAAAACAAAGAAACAAAAAACTTGAAAAAAATTTGGTTTTTTTTCTATAAAATTGAAAAAATTGAGTTTCATTTAAATTTCCAGAAAAAATGGTTTTTGGGGGGAAAAATGGATTTTCACGAAAAATTGGAAAATTTCTTTTTTTTTTAAAAAAAAAACACTTTTTTCCTAAGGATCAAAAAGTAGTAGTATGGGTGAATCTTTAGGATTCTGTACTCTCAGCCTTTCACATTTAACCTTTATTTATTAGTTAAATTAATAATTAAATTCATTTTTAAGCGTACCTACCTATAAATACAAATTATATTAATTATTGTCTGAAAAAAATTTTTTTTTCTTATTTTCCGAAAACAGGATTTTTTTGGAAATGTATTATTTGAATATTCTTAAATTTTTCTATATTTTCTGGGGCTTTGGGAAAAAACCCGTTTTTTTTCCGAAATTTTCCTGAATTTTTCAGCATTTTGATCCCTATTGTTTTTCATCCGTTTTCAAATCAAACGTATGTTGCAGGTTCAGCGACATCCCGAGCGTGTGGTGGCAAATCAGTACGGTGCTAATAGGAGGCGCGACCGCGATCACGGTCATCGTGGCCGTGTCCGCCGTATCCGCATGCTGCGTGACACACGTCATCCAAAAGTCGACAGCCAAAATCGCCGGATATCTACAGCTATTAGCCGGTGAGTAGCATGTTGGCATTTATTATTTTTTTTTTTTTTTACTTTCTTTCCGCCTTTTCACGCGCACACGATGTATTATTGATTCCGTCGGTCCAGAACAAGTCACGTATCCCATTATGCTTCCTGAGAATAAAAAAAAAAAAAAAAAAAAAAAAATAAAATCGGTATAAAACACCCTTAAAAATGCGCTGTTCGCCTGTTGAGTTATTCATGACGACTTCATAGCGAGCGGACGACAGGACGGAATGACCCCTGCGCGCACACTATCCCTTTTCTCTCCCCGAACGTACGATAGCCCGGCCGAAACAGCCGCGCCGCCGTCGTCGTCGTTAATGGCCCGCTGTCAAAACGCTTTCAAAACTTCGGTGACGTGTGACCGTTTTAACAGTGCAAACACGTAACGGCAGGACTCGAAAGCAGATACGCCCACCCGCCCACCGCGGAAAAATGGGTTTTTCGAAATTAAACTTTTAAGAAGATTACCGACTATCGTTTTGTTATTTTCGCTCGTCATCTTCCGGGCTGATCGGAGGGAGACACGACAGCTCTGGAAAGTATGGTTTTAAATTGCTATCCAAACAAACCAGTAACGTCCGAACAATGTAATTCGAAGTAGCGAATAGTCTCCAGACAACGTGTGTACTCCTCTGTGACGTATCGCACGCGTAAACACTGCGGTTTTTAATGCGGGAAACATTTAGCGCCTTGTAATACACCTTACATTGCGCACAACTTTTGCGGATATTTGTTTACCGACGGTTTCGGTGAAAATGTTCGCTGTGCAACCTCCAAACATAATACAAAACCTCACGTTTTTTTCAACACAACTTGCGATCAGTGCATCGCCCATTTATCACAAAATAACGTTTATAAATTATAGCAAAAAAAGCGATTGGTGATTCACCGGAGACACGCAATGAACTTCGCGTGAATAAGTTAAACCAATATGTTATACAAACATATAAAAAAATTTTAAAAGAACCAAAACATAAAAAAATATATTTTTAAACTCATTCGATTGTTTTGGAAATCTAATCATAACCGTGGAGTTCGAATTAAAATAGAGTTTTTTACATTTAGGTTGTTCGACGTTCTAGGAGTTGTAATATTCTTAAAATTAATTTCGTTCGTAAGTTACTATTGAGTGGAATCTATTCCACTATAATACCATCAGCCGATTTCGACGATAAAAACTAATAAAGCTGTAACATGTAGGAAACTCGTGAAGTATAGTATGCACTTAACCCAGAACGTCGTTATTGTTGTTCGTAAAATGTCAAACGAGACCTCACAGAAGAAACAACGAGCAATTATATTGCCATTCCTGCGTTTTATTTTACCAAGAATTTCTGTTACAAGAATTCCTCCATAGCTATACCTACGTGTAATGGTCTATTTTTTTTATTTTTTTTTTTGATAAACTGCAATGCTTACATTTCCTATTCCTTTATGTTCCGTCGATTATCGTACGCTGGTGAAAAACAGTGTTGTTTTTTCTTTAGTTTTTAGGTTTAAAATTAATTTCATTATTATTGAGTGAAAATCGTTAAAACTTTAACCATTTGCTTTAGGTAAATTCAAATATTAATCTATAAAATTAGGCTTAAAGTTGATAACGTTTAGCGGTGACTTGAATGACGATTGTAATTATTATTATAGATTGTATTTCATATAATTGTAACTTGTAAATTATGATATAGATAATTCTTTGCTTTCAATAGTTTACATATATATATGTTAAGATGTATGACCGCATAGAAGTGAATGTTGATAGTCACCTGTGTACTTTCAAATATCTCACAATGCGGACATATACCAGTATTTGTTGACATGCGCAATAGTTATTTAGTGAATGTTGACGTGTCTGACAATATGTATAGTTTCGCCCTCCACGACCAGTTTTTATATGAGCTTCGTGCATGATGTCGTGTAGTTCTTCGTTCTTTACATAGTCAATAATTTTAGTTTCACCTACTTTTAACGGGACGATTAGTTTATGATTATCCATAATATCCACAACATCCAAATCGCCTATAATCACTTCGTTGTTTATTTTTTTTTTTTTTTAGTTTAGCATTTGTAACTTCAATTATATATTTATTATCTTTTTCAGTTCTTAAAAAACAATTATCTTTCCTTTTTTTTAATATAATTGCATTAAATTTTTCATAAAATTATCTTTCATATTTTTATCCATTATTAATTTTAATTCGAGTATAATATTATAAACTGTTATTAAACCGTTGCGCTTGGTTTAGAATAAGCGACAATACTGAGGAGGGTCTATATTATATTATCTAGCAAACGATTGACTATCGTATTTTCTCATACGATAACATTACTGACGTCCAAACGTCTTGAATGCATATTGTAACTGGACGATAACGTCAAATGTAATCGAAAATGTTATCGATCCTACAAAATAATACAAAAATACCTTTTACATGCATCGTGCTTCAAATGTGGACAACATTTACCAAACACTGATTGTAAATGTCAACAGTCACCGGTGTATGAACGCGTTAAGACCATTTTGTCAACATTTACTACGATTTTTGGTAAATGTGAACATACACCGGTGACTGTCAACATTCGCCAACTACGTTCATATACCTTAACATATATATTATATATATATGTATTACAAGACGTAAAAGATATAAAATTAGATAAGACTTGTGATTTTCTTTTCTTATAAAAATAAACAAAAATGTTTTTACTTGACATAGTTTTGTTTTGTTTCGATGAAACTGTATATATAAAGAAAACATTTTACGTTATTAACATTTGAATCAAAATAAATACAAATTCACCAATTCAAAATACTGCACCAATGTATTTTGTTCGCCATACTTACAAAGCGTGTATAATAAATCCAAATTGATAAGAATTGGTTACCGCGGTTTTTGCTTAACTTGTTATTCGGATAGTCTTCAAAATATATTATGTAGATTAATATAATATGGATTTTTTTTTATTTCCCCCCGAACAAATAAATAAATAAAAAATGCCCATTGGGATGATTTAAATCAGAAAGAGTACTTGGTCGAATTCTGCGCCTGATATGATAATACGATTTTATTGCAAACGATAAATTTTCCGGAGGAGTATATACGGAGCAAAGCTCTGAAATTATCGGAAAATGTTTTTTTTTTCTTTTCTTTTTACTGTTCTCTAAGGGGCATTCAATTTATTTATTTTTTTTTACGATTCGCTCTGTCGTGTTCTTACAAATAAAAATATATACTTTAATAAGCACCATCAAGGCGGTTTCTGCAGCGAATTAAAAACCGTAAACCTCGGATGGTTTTTGCGCTACAGAGTTTTGATGACCTTTCGACACGCATTTAATCATTGCCGAAAAACAACAATCCAAGACGGACAACACTAAATGTTAAGATATTAGTGGATGGTCGAATAAAAGAAAGCATTAACTGACACTGGTTCTTTAATGCGCAGTCCTAGCCCTTAATCAAAATAATCGACATCGTAAAATTTAATGTTGACCTTAACAAAATGTTTACAAGCGGTTTTAAGTAAAAAGTATTTTTTTTTTTTTTACGTCCAACATTATCGTCGATTTTGTCTTATTTAATTTTGTTTACCGCTGCTATAATAATTACAACACTTTAATTTGTTATAAAGCATCATCTTCAAGGGGTTTTATAAATGTATTCTTTCCTAATTTGATTCTGCAGTAATATCGTAGATTTTAGCTCGTATAAAACAATTATTTAATATCAATGTTTCATTATTGTTTTCGAAATAATTCAGGTTAAATAAAGCAAACTTTACAATGCGTCCGTGGATTGTGTTCATTGATCGGTTGTTAAAATAAAACAAATTTAATGAGATGAAAGATATAATATATAGATGCGTACAATATAATTAATTGACTTGCACCAATTGTTCGAAGAATACGACTCGAATTTACTTATACAATTATAGTTATGCAGTAAACATTTATTCGTGTTCATTGTTTACGAAGTTTAAGATTATCGATTTAAAAATTAGAAACATTTGCCAAATTTGGTGTAGCTTTTATCCAATTTCCACTCGATTTCTCTAAGAAAATACTAATGCCCGAACCCCAGCTCCATCGCATCAGCCGATCAGTACCTATACAGATACTCGTTATTTTAAGAATTTTCACCGATCTGGTGAACGTTCAAACGAAATCAGTTCAATGCGAGCTGTAAGATAATAACTTAGACTCACCGTAAGTTCGTCCGCTCGCAAAACACCTATGGGTGGAGTTGCTAAGATAACAGAATAATGAGTGTAAATTCACCGTTGATTATCTTAATGCATCCGGGCGTGATGTAAATTTTCGGAATCGTATCCCATTAACAAATGCTTATTACCGAACTTCAATTACAATGAACATTACCTTGAAAAAATGTGTTTTGTTTCGGAAACTTCGGCACAGTACTTCTGACTAACCATGTTACTATGCGTAAACACCTGAATAAATAATATATTTTAGTGCATTCATTGCAAATGTCTTATATGTGTCCAACCATTAAAAATGAACAAAAATAAAAAAATAATAACTAATCCGAAGAGATCTGATCGTAATAATATACCCATTAAATGCACCATTGAACGAATGCAATTGAAACAGAAATCTAGTCTAGACGTCTAGTGGTCTAATTTATAACAACGATTGCTGAAAATGAGTCGTACATACGATATATACGTATATATATAAACGTATTACGTATAGTGAAATTGGTGTTCTTTCGGAAGGAAACTCGGAATCCTTTTGTGTCCGGCAACGTTCTTCTTTTTTCAATGCGATGAAACATGGCATTATAAAATGCATCAATGCGATGTTAATCGTTCAGAGCGTTTCGCAAACAAATAGAAATTTCCCGAAGACGAGCCATTAAGATATCTTGTTTAATTTATATTAAGGAACGAACACGTTATCAAAGGTAGATAGGTAGTTTTTTTGTTACAGGAAAATATTTTAATGGAGCCACCAGAATGAAAAAAAA